AAATGGCTGGAAATTATAAATTAAGGGATGATTAAAAAACAAATATATGTCTGCCATAGTGCATAAAAAAAGGCATATTGAAATATTTAAAAGATCCAAGAATATGTTCTGAGTGTCTACTATTTACATAGTGTGTATATGTGTGTGTGTGTATGTATATATATAGGCTACATATTACTCAATTATTTAGTTAAGCAATTAACTGTACTCTTCAACACTATATTCGTAGCTAGCCACTTATTATATTATCATAATTTCCTCCTAATGTTGATTTGGGTATTAACCCAAAGGTACCTGAAAAAAGCGTGTGGCATACTTCACAGAAAGTGATACATTTCTAATAGGGGGCTGAATATTTATCACCAAATCATATGTATTTCCTCTTTAGGGTTCATTCTACTCTCCTATAAAAGTGCTATTTACCAAGGATCTTCAAAATCAGAGGAAGGTGTGGGATCTCAGAACCATAGCAACAAAGGAAATTGAAAGACTTGATTATGATCCAGATAGACATGACAATTTGGGTAAAGAGAATTATGGTAATAAAAGTATCATCAATTTATATATGTATTATATATGTATTTGTTTTATTTTGGAAAGACATGAAAATATAAATAAGAAATTATCATAGATATAACCTGAAAAGAGGGGCTTTAAACTTACTAATATCAAAACCAATATAAAACATTATACTAAAACTTTTCCCATGTTGTTACTGTTGTCATCATCAATAAGATTAACAGTGGCTTCTCCTCTTCCTGTGGTAAAAAATACTTGTCTGTCAGGTTTATCTTCAAGAAGCAGGTTCCTCAAAAAATTACCTAGTTCATTCTCTGTACACACGTAGCAGTAATTTTCTTAGTTTTAGGGTGGAACTTAAATGTATTTCTAGTCATTAAAATAGGGAATGACAAGTGAAATTCTTTCCAGAGATTAAAACACACACCACACACACACACACACACACACATTGAGATTTCGCTTCATCCCTTTAAATGACATGCCTGAGTTGGTGATGGTCCCCACAGTTTTATGAGACGATTCTGACTCTACTGTTAGACCAGACTGCTTCTGCTTTCTTACCTGATCAAAGTTGTAGAGGGCAGCATGTAAATTGGCCAGCATTCCTGTGGGGGGTTCATTAGTGATCTTGATGGAAGTTTCCAGAAGTCCTTGAGGGATGATATGCTCATTTGGTGTAGGTGCAGAATCAGCACTCATGAAAACTCTGTAATCTCTGTGGCTTCCTTGGCTGAATCTTTCAAGGAGTTTCTCCAAGGTTCCTAGCCACTTGGCTACCAAATGGACATTCTGAAAGATAGTATGGTTTATAATTCCTGTGAAATTGAAGTATATTACTTGAATTGTAGGATTACAACATTTTCCTATATACAAATGTGTTGAAAACTCAGAGAACCATGATTTAAATGTTCCTTTATTATCATGTTATAAAAAGGAAAAAAAAATCTCAAAGAGAATTGAACACATTGCTCCAATCACCACAGGTTGTCTTTGTAAATCAAAATCTTCACCCAATACACATACCTACTTCAAACACCAACCAGTCACTTCTAAGATGGAGTTGCCTAATACTTTTCTTTGTTATAGTTCAAACACAATGACTGAAACATACCTGGGTTAGTTTGATAAAGTGTAAAAACTAGAAACTGGAAATGTACCTGATTACCCACTTCATTGTTTCTGACGGAAACTTCCTCTACTCAAACTCCTACTCATTAATGTATAGACTCAAAGGGGTATAAGGGCAGAAAGGTTAGCCAAAAAAGAAAGTAATCACTCATTGTTAAGATGCTCTGCGTATACCCAACGTATGATTTTTCTTAAACCCTACAGCTGTCAGAAATCACAAAAAAAAAAAAACAAATGCCAATGCCATCGTCATTCTTTGCATTTCAGTTTTATGATTCACAAATTTGCTCCTCCAATGCAAAACACCCACAGGGTACAGCTTGGGAGTTGGTGCTGGGAGGGAGGTGTCCAGGCCATACCTTGCATGCTCTCTGGCTTTGGAGAAGTTCTTGATATAGTAATTGAAACATCACGCCGAGAGATATATAATCATTTCCAACAAAGAAAAAACACTTAAGATTATAACAGCTACAAAAATAGAGAGAATGAAAGCAAACAAGGAAGGGAGTAGTAATGTAGGCATCCTTCTTTAAAATTTCTCTCGCAAAAAGACTATGCCAATTCAGCCGTTGACATTATTAGGCTTTTATTCTCTGGGCAAATGTTGAACACTGGCAAGTTTAATGGGCTGCATTGTGTCCCTCCCAAATTTATACGTTGAAGTCCTAACCCCCAGTACCTCATCATAATGTGACCACATTTGGAGTTAGTGTCTTTAAGGAGGTAATTAAGGCGAAATGTGGCCATTATGAAGGGTCTTAAATCAATACAACTGATGTCCTTATAAGAGGAGGAGATTAGGACACAGAAACAGAAGAAAAACCATGTGAAGACACAAGGAGAAGTCGGCCATCTAACAGGCCAGGGAGAGAGGCCTCAGAAGAAATTGCTCGTGCTGACAGCATGATGTCAGATTTCCAGCCTCCAGAGCTGTGAGAAATTAAATTTCTGTTGTTCAAGCTGCCCAGTCTGTGATACTTGGGTATGGCAGCCCTAGCAAAGTAACACGGTAGGTAAGGGCTATGTTTCCTGCCCTTCATGCTTGTTCCTACGTTATGAGAGCACTTCTCACACCCGGTTGTGACTCTCATAAAAGTTAAAAACAAACAATAACAAAACCTGTCTTGTAAGCACAATTATGTCTTCACTCTTTGTCTTAAGGACTACAACAGTACCTTACTAGAAAAGTTGACTTGAAACAAAAGTAAAAATATTCTAGGCAGGGAGTTTGGAATCAGGGGACAGAAAACCTTTGGATGGAGCCATCATGGAACACAGGTATACTTCGAAATTCAGCCTGGTAACCATTCTCAAAGATACTGGCATTGGGACTGGCTAGATTGTTATGCCTTTTTGTCCAACGACAACAGTGCCTGTGCAACATTTTTAGGCAATCCACATGCCTTAAAAAGAACCCATTTTGGCCATGAAAAATGATTTTAATATCCATTATGTTAATGCACAAACCTTCGGGTGCGTACCTTTGTAATAGTTTTCTCTGGAGTGTGAGCTTTGCATAAAATACTAGCTAAACAACCCTAATCAGATGATTATAATTGACCATACTAGGGTTTGGGTAAGAACTAATTAACATGTGCGTATGTATCATATGCCCATGCTGACACAATGTAATGTAAATTACGAACAATATAACAAGTTCTCATTATGTTGGTTTTCTCTTTGTCCAAAGTCCTGCTTCTCTTTTAACTGCTGATCAAAGGTGTACTAGAAACCTCTAGAAACTGGGATAGTCAAAAGCCTGACATAATCTCTCCTCTCCAATTACTCTATGTGTGGGTAGCAGGGTGGGGAGTGAAGAGGTATAAACAGTTAAATTCTAGCTTACTGGCTTGCCATGAAGAACAAAAATCAAAGGTCTAAAACAAATATCCAAAAGCAGATCCTTAATAAAATAAAGTCTTTCAGGATTTTTTTTTTGTTTTTACTGGTAAAACTTATAATTTGTAGTTTCAGGGGCAACTGGTAGCTTGGCACACATATAAAAATAACAGAAATATTTTGTTTTGAATATGTTCTTTTGAGGATGACTATACCCCTGCTAGCGTTCTCTCCAGTCTGGGCCACTGGGCACATGAGCATTCTCTCCTTTGTGGGAAGATCTTACTGTCTACCAAACGGTCAGAGCATCGACTGCTATCTTTGAAAAAAATAAACCCTCCACTGTTACCCGTCTGATTCTGAGCCTTCGAAGGGGGTGTGCTACCCCAAGTCCCCTTATGAAAGTCTCCATAAAGGCCTCATCTAAGCAGTGGGCTATCCCAGAGAGTTATGTTCCTGCAAACCTAAGTCCACTTGAACTCTGGAACGCTTCTGTATGAGCCCAGTTTTATTCCAAGCAGAAATGTAGAAAACCTCAAACATGGGCACTGGAGACACTGAGGGGCAATGCTGCATCTCTGCGGGAGGGTGGAGGCATGAGCTGGTATAACGGATATCACTGCTGCTAAACACACCTGGATTCAAGTGCCAGCTCTGCCACCTACCAGCTCAGTGGCCTGGAGACTCTCCAGACCCCTCCAAGGCTCGCTTTTCTCATCCTCATATGCAGAGTGACAATACCTGTCCTTGAAGCTTTGTCATAATGATTAGAGCTAAGGCATCCTGCGAATGGCCTACCGATGAGAACCTTTGGGATGACTAAACTGAAAACCAGATGGCCGTCCTCAGAGCTGCTGAGACAGCCAGTGAGGCTTGCTATGGACGAAGTCAGCACCTGTCTTGCAGGTGCCCCCAAGGCTGGCCTGTGCTCCACTGGTTCCTGGAATCCCCAGCCAACGGGGCCACCCTGGTTCTAGATTCATAGGCCCTATAATGTTAGCCCTAGAAGGGACAAAGGGTTTGTCTACCCTAATCGCTTAAATTCACAAAGGGAATGTAACACAACTGGTCAGAGTTGCATGAGATAACATACATAAAAAAAGGTCTGTCAACTTTAAAGGCACCTGCAATGTCAGATACTATGACAACAGTGTTGGCAATCTAGACGAGCCTGTTCATCCTCGGGCAGTACTGAGTGTTCCAGATATTAGTAAGTCAGAAGAATGATGGGGCTTCTCCTAATACTTTTAATTTTAAAGCACAATGGCTACACAGCCTCTCAAAAGACGGTACCCACTGCTGAGGCCCTCACCACTTTGGAGGTGTCATGAACACTGACAGAACTGCTAGGACTCTGCAAATCACCGTGTGTGGTGGTGTTAAAGGACTGTTCTGTTGGTTAGGCCAGTGTTTTTCCTGAAACTTAATACTCACCTGGAGTATGACCCAGTGTCCTCCTTTGGAGGCTTTCTCCAGTGCCATTTGTGCCACCATCTCCTGACCTTGTCCTAAAGACACGTTGTGGAATTTTCCAGAGTCAATTGTAAACCCAAGCCTTTTGCCTGTGGGAGAAGACACCAGAGTGAGAGGAGAGATCAGTCAAGTAGGGGTAAGAGGAGTCTGGAGTTCCGTGGTCCAGTGTACCCCTGTGGTCACTGCTGCCATCTTCTAGGTCACTTCCTTGAGCAGCCAAACTAAACCTCTGTGGTATCCACAAGCAGCATTTTCAGCTCTCAACAGCTGCCTCACTGCAAGCATTAGAAAAGCCTATGGAAACCAGTTCCTTTGGTTTTATGATAATGAAGCTTTTGACATTTTGATAGATGGCAGGCATTGTTACAGGGCTTTATAAACTCTTGCAGGAGTAGCAAAGCATTTCCCTCATAAAAAGGAGCAACATGTGGTAGATATCACATCATTTTTTGAAGGATCAGTTCATTGGGTAAATGCACAAGCCTCTCACCTTGTGAGGCTGCGTTTAAATTGAGCACAGTCAGGTCACAGCTATATTAACCTGGTATTCTTGGTGTAGGCCGTGGGGAATAGTAATCTAGCGCACAAAGCGACAGTGCCTTGCACAATCAAATAGACTTGCTCTAATGACCATTATTTAGTCACAGGGGGCACAAGATTACATGAGCATGGAGAAAATTGCCCTCTGGCCCTCATATATAGTCAAAAGGTAGAAAATAGTACAAAAGAAACCTGCATTATGCCAAGCAGAGGAATGTTCCATTTGAATATTTCTTCAGACTACAGTGTTATTAGCCTTTCATTTTCCATATACCCAATCTCCAACATATGGAAAAAAAAAAAAAAAGAAACTAAGATAACTGAGAACTGAAAGGAGGGGAAGGTGGGTGGTGGGTGAAAGGGAGGGAAGGAGAGAGGGCGAGCCAGCAGGCCTCCTGGCCACTCACCAAGAATCTCTAGGTCTTTAAGGGCATCTACCCCTGGGGACAGGATGAAGAATATTGGCGTGGTCGGGCTGCTTTCTTCAAATGCTTTAACTAAATCCAATCTGGTCCTCTCCACATACTTTGCACCCAGTTTTTCCTCCACGAAATTTCTATAAAAAAGAATAATACAAAAAATATAATCAGTGCTTTTGACCTTAAAAAGTGTCAACACTTAGATAAGCTTAAACCACCGGCATACGAAAGAAGCAACCCAATGATTACACGGGATGTCTTGTTAGAATGACAATATGAATCCAACTAGATGTATGCAGTAAGCGTATCAATGAAAGCTCTGAAAATTGGAAGGCTGTTCCGTTTTGGGGGGCTCCTGAGACCCCCGTCTGAGTACCATCAGCCTGCTTGTGGCTTTGTATCCCCCAAATCCCCTGCCAGATTCCCCCATTACTTATTAACAGTTTATTAGATTTGCCACAGTGCAATTTTCCAGCCTGCTGGGCTTCTCATGAATATACAAATGCTTTTGGGGGCGTTTCTAACACAGAGAAGCTCAATTAAGCAGGGATTATTTTCCAGCGGCATCAAATTTAGCAGAAAGTAAGTACTACTAAGCAGAATTAACTTGTAAAGTAGGCTTCCGCAGAGGCTCCTGCAAAGGGGAAATTGGTTGAACTAGACAAAGCGAAGGAAAAAAAACCCTGAGGCACATGAATATTGCTGAAAAAAGAAGAGCACAATAGACAAGGAAGTTGAGAACTCTTTGGTTGGTGAATTCAAATTAGAATAAGACTTGTGTGAATTAAGCAGCAAATTCCCATTTAGAAGCTAAGAGGGCAAAGAAAACGGATACTTGAACCAAGATGTAGACAGGGCTTTCTGGTTTTAAATTGCATTGGTTGTAAAGTTGTAGGACTACCAGTATCTCCATGAAAGGAATTCATTTTTGTTTGACATGCAAAATCTTTGGAGCCAAAATGCCACCACTGAATAAAGTCAATGGAAATTACACTTGGATGATTCATGCTCCTGGTCTCTGAACTCTGCTGACACCCATCTCTCTTCCAAGAATATTTCCATCAGTTCCCCATCTCCCCTACTGATTTCAGAATGAAGCTTTGCAGGAAGAATGTGCTGAGTCTGCCTACAGACTAGCACGCTGTTTAGTGTTTAGCCAGTTTTAACAATGGCAGTCATTATAATATCTAAATCTCAGCAGAATCACTTCCCATGAATATGGACAGTAAACACCTCCACCCGATACTCCTAACCCCTAAGACTAAGTTTACTCTATGTTAACTTGCATTTCCAAAAATGCCAGCGGCCCCACCTGAGAGCATATGTCAATCTGTCAGGGCGCAGTGCTCTCAAAATAATCAGCTTCTGTATTAAACTTTTCTTCTTCCATTCTTGTGGTAACTTTTCTTTCTCTGGACACTCGGATTCTACCCACTTCCTCCACTGCTTGGCAGATCCTTCCACATCTCGGTCTATGCCTCGAAATTCTTCGATAAGGGCAACTGCCTGGGATACAGTAGGGAAGTAGGTAAGAATGGTGTGAACAATACTTTATAGTTTGAGATAAAGACTTGTGCATGTATCTAATCTAATGTAAACAAATTGCACTGGATGGTCTTCGTTTTCCTTTCAGATTTATTCTGCACTCTTTTCCGCTCTGTGTAGAAGGTGAGCTCAAAGGACAATTTGAACTAAGTTCTCCAGATCTCTGGCTCCATTGGGTTTGGCCAACGGAAGACACTGGCAGGAGACTGCAGCACTAGAGAAGAGAGAGGAGGGGTTATTTCCTCCCCAGCTCTTTTCTGCTGGGACGTGGTTTGGCAGGGACTATGTTCTTCTGCCAAAGGCCACAACTCCTATAGGTTCCTTCCCGTAACTTCATTTCTCAGCAGTTCTCCCCTTTTTCCTTCCCTATTCCTGGTTGCTTCCCTTACCCTTATGGGTTGATTGCTCATACTACAAAAATATGTTCTTAGTTAAATCTCTTCATTACCGCTTTGAATGTGCCATTAGTTTTCCGCTGAGACCCTGACTGATATACATTTGAACTTGAATTTAGAATTCTAAAGTGGATAACCTAATCAAAAATACTTATTAAAAAAACCCAAATCTGAAATATTATAAAAAGGAATAACACAGTTATTTTCAATGCATAGAAATGTTTTCTTAGAGAAAAGAGCAAGGCAGAGCTTAGTATACGTCCAACATCGTTATGAAACTCCAGAGTCTGGGAGCATAAACTCTTAACAGTAGAACCTCTGACAGAAAAATGGAATAAGGATTGATAACTACAATTGAAAAATGACTCTCACTTTTTTCTCTACAGTATTCTGTTGTGCTTAAACATTTTACAATGAGAATAAACTACTGCATAGTGATGTAATCTGAAAAACTAGAAAACGTGGAGAAATATAATAAAAAGAAAAAAAAGAGAGAATACATTTAAGAAAAATTCTCATTTATATCACTTGACTTTTATCAAACGTCTTGACAGACTGTGCATATTTATTAACAACTTTGCCACCCACTTGAGTTAAAAGCTGCTTGACTTCCAAATAAGACAATAATCAATTTGATAATACAAAGATTAATTAAATAACATCACATTATATATTTCTACAACTGAAATGCTGTCTAATATATCATCACCCGTATTCTTTAAACTACATTTCTACATTGAAAAGACCTAATATTAGAAATAAGATTTAGAACCTGAGAAACCGTATTCCTAACATACCTTGATAGCACTCCATGACTGAGTCGTTAGGAAGTCAACAGGACTTGGGTAAGTATGTTCAACTGTGAATCGAAGTAGGAAATCCAGTTCAAGGGGGTCAATCTCTTTCTTTCTCAGCAAAATCTTGACAGACAAAATTGAAAAGGATTATTTGGTTTACATCAAAATCATGACACAGGAAGCAGTTACTCTTTGACAGACACGATTGAATAGGCAGAAGCAAGTCTGCTAAGAATTCTGGCATATATCTGTCCTATAGTTGAAATACGGAATCTTAAATAGTGTCCATGATCTCAAAACCATGAGTGGAAATCTAATAGAAAATAATTAAAATGGCTGATTTATTCCAATCCTAACACCTATCCCTATGAGCAACATATCTGAAATATGCTTTCCTATTCAGTCTTCTGCTGATAGATCAAACCTGTTTTAAAACTCATTATGCAAAATAAGAAAGCCTCAGGTGACAATGGACTAAATTACTAAACAGAAGGTAGAACTAATATTACTATTATAAGTCAATTCTGGTATAGAAATTATAATCGATAAACTATGAGATATGTGAAAGATTTTTCTTATATGTGAGGTTATATTGAAAAAAAATGAGAAATTGTTTTACAGGTACAACTGAAACACATAATGAATTGGAATAAACTTTAGACATTCTGATTATAGAATTGATAAAAAGTCCATAGTACCTTTTGGAGGGTACAAATGAAAATTCCTAATTTCCATCTAGAAACTATAACACCTTACAAAGTTAAACAGATAAATTTTTTTTGGTTTAATCTATTTTAAAATTCTAGATGTTTCAAAATGCATTATGGGTGCATTAAAATAATACTTTATTTTATGAGAAAATTAATTTTTCTTAATTCAATTTAATCTATTTCAACAAACAAGTAATCATCAATATAGAAGCTTTGATTTACTATATTATCAGAACTTGGGACAGATTATAATTTATCTATGGCTTCCAAAGGGAAGTTTCAAATAGATGTGCATGTCATGTATTATCTCCCCTGCCCTTTTCCTGTTAATAAGAGATAGGTATAAAAACAAGTATTTCATTTTATAATGCCTTGCTCCTGTTTATCACATACATTCTAAAACACCCATACTCATATATTTTTATAGAATGCAAAAGAATCTATGAATACAAACAATATTGAAAGAGAAGTCATAGTTTATGACTATCAATTGCAAGTGTTTATAAAGTGCCTTTGGGCAAGGCATTTTGAAGGATACAAAATAGGTAAGATGCAGACCTTAAGGTTTGGACTGATGGAAAATGCCAAACTAGCAAATGAAAGGACATTTTAATTTTATCTGAAACTGTGGTCCTCAACGTTTTTTTTTTTTCTTGCGTCACGGACATCTTTATTTAAACACAGTCTTCTGTAGAAGTCCATGTGAAAAAGGGTAAAAGAGAAGCAGGTCTCACTGAAGGCGGGGTGAGAACCCTGGAGCTCTCCTTACCAATTCACTGTTGTGTGTTTTTTTTTAATTTTCATTTTATTTTTAATTGACCAATAATTTTATACATATTTATGGAGCCCAGTGTGATGCTTTGATATATGTTTATATTGTGGATTGGTTAAATCACACTAATTAACACATCCATCACTCCAGATATCATTTTTTTTTATAGTAAGAACATTTAAAATCTACTCTCTTAGTGATTTTGAAAAATACATTAACTGTATGGAATGGAATACTATTCAACCTTAAAAAAGAAAGAAATTCTGTCATTTGTGACAACGTGGATGAACCCATTTGCTGTCTTTTTTTTGAAATAGGGTCTCGTTCTGTTGCCAGGGCTGGAGTGCAATGACATCATCATAGCTCACTGCAACCTCAAACTCCTGAGCTCAAGCTATCCTCCTGCCTCAACCTCCTGAGTATCTGGGACTACACACACACCACCACACCTGGCTAATTTTTAAAAAAAATTTTTGTATCAATAGGGTCTCACTATGTTGCTCAGCCTGATCTCAAACTCCTGGCCTCAAGTGATCCCCTCACCTTGGCCTCCTGAAGTGCTGGGATTATAGGTGTGAGCCACTATGCCCAGCCCCCTTCACTGTTTTCAAAAAAAAAAAAATGAGAAACTCTTAGGACTACTCAGATCTGGATGTATAACCCCGATCTCAAAGAATCTTCCTGGTAGTACCTACACGGTTCTTTATAGGACCCAAGAAGGTGAAGAGAATGTCTCATTGATGTTTTTCAGGATGACGGCTGTGGTGGGAGCTTAATGTGCACACCCACCCAAACCAAAGCACAGGGACCCAGGAGAAGGCTGTCACATGCCCAAGCTCCCTGTAGGAAACGCAGACTCTTTGCAAGCCACCAACGGCTTCCAAAAAACGTGTCTCTGCTTTCCTCCAGGAGTAAAATATATAATAAGCAGAGGCATTTGCCTTTGGTTGTGGGGATGCTTTTGAGCGACTGATCTCCTCACCTGAAAAGCCATCTGGGACAGGAAGGTGAGTTTGTCCTTCTCAAACAGTGCCTGGCTGGTGTATAGGAAGATGGCGTGGGTGATGCTCTCCGTCAGGATGGAGATGCGCCCCTGCACGTCTTCTACCTTGTCAGCCTGCTCGATCGCTCTGTGGAACAGCACGTTAAAAGCCTGGGAAATTTAATGTGACCATTAAAGGGTGACAATCGGTGCCTGGATATCTAACTAGCCCCAGATACATGGGGCGACAGTTTAAAGTTTATCTATAGGGAGAGGAGGATTTTTAGGAGGACAATACAAGCTCTTGAAAGTTTCTGGCACATGGTACATGTTCATTAAGTGCTTGCTGTCATTACTATCATTAATATGATTCCATGAAATCTACCCACATCTCCTTCCTAGCAACTGAACTACACCATCCTCTCTCCTTCTGCTCATGTATTTTTTAAAAAATGCATTTTATTTTTAATAGTGGTAAAATACACACAAAATTTACCATCTTAACAGTTTTAAGTGTACATACATTCAGTTCAGTAGTGTTAAGTATCTTCACATTGCTGTACAACCAATATCCATAACTTTTTCAACTTGCAAAATTGAAACTCTGTACCCATTAAACAACTGTCCATTCTTCTCTCCCCCCATTCTCCGGCAACCACCATTCTGCTTTCTGTTCCTATGAGTTTGACTACTCTAGGTACCTCACATAAGTGGAATCATATAGTCTTTTTGTGACCAGCTTATTTCACTTAGGACGGTGTACTTAAGGCTCATACATATTATAGCATGTATTAAAATTTCCTTCATTCTTAAGGCTAGATAATATTCCATTGCATGTATATACCAGATTTGATTAATCCATTCATCCATGCATGGACATTTGGGTTGCTTCTACCTTTTGGCTACTGTAAACAATGCTGCTATGGATATGGATATTCAGACATCTCTTAGAGACCCTCTTTCAATTCTTTTGGATATACAGCCAGAAGCAGAATTGCTGGATCATATGGTAATTCTATTTTTAATTTTTTGAGAAACTGCTATACTGTTTTTCTTAGCAGCTGCACCATTTTACATTGGCACCAACAGTGCACAAGGGTTCCAATTTTTCCATGTCCTCGCCAACACTTGTTATTTTATTTTTGATAGTAGCCATCCTAATGAGTGTGAGGTGTTACCTTACTGTGGTTTTGATTTGCATCTCCCTAATAATTCGTTATGTTGAACATTTCATCATATGGTTGTTAGCCATTTGTATATCTTCTTTGGAGAGATGTCTACTTAAGTCCTTAGTCTATTTTTAATCTAGTTGTTATTTTTGTTGCTGTTGTTTTGTTGTTCTATCCATGTACTTTTGGGATGCCCTTTGGTTATCTCTTCTTCTTTTTTTTTTTGGAGACAGAATCTTGCTCTGTTGCCCTGACTAGAGTGCAGTGGTGTCATCATAGCTCACAGCAACCTCAAACTCCTGGGCTCAGGCAATCCTCCTGCCTCAGCCTGAGTAGCTGGGACTACAGGTGCATGCAGCCATGCCTGGCTAATATTTCTATTTTTTGTAGAGATGGGGTCTTGTTCTTGCTCAGGCTGGTCTCTAACACCTGACCTCAAGCGATCCTCCTGCCTCGGCCTCCCAGAGTGCTAGGATCACAGGCGTGAGCCATCAGGCCTGGCCTCTTCTTCCTTTTAAAGTCACTCTTGATATTTATTACTCTATTTCATGCCTTGGTAATAATGGGACTGTTTGGATTTTTATATCTCTGTCTCTATATATGGACATGAATTTAAATATATATAAATATGTCTATATATATATAGCTATAAATATGAAATATTTATTTATTTTTGGCTGGTGGACAGGGACCAGAGACCACAGACTGATTTGCCTTGAAGTGCATATATTTGAGTGAAAGTAAAACCCTACAATGACGGATACACTCAGCATGTATTGGTAAGGAGGTATTAACAAAATACAGCATTGAGTGTCTCTTACCCAAACACTTGGGACCAGAAATGTTTTGGATTTTGGAATACATGAATATACCTAATGAGATATCTTGGATATGAGACCCAGTCTAAACATAAAATTCATTTATGTTTCACATACACCTTATACACATAGCCTGAAGATAATTTTATACAGTACTTTTTAATAATTTTGTGCATGAAACACATGAGGTCAGGTGTGGAATTTTCTACTTGTGGCATTCACCAGCCAGTGAATGCTTATACAAATTTTTGGTTGTTTCCAAATTTTGGCTATTACGAATAAAGTATCTACGAACATTTGTTAACAAATTTTTTGTGGACATTTGTTTTCATTTCTCTTCGGTAAATACGTAGAGTGAAAATGCAAGATGACACTGCAACTGTATATTTACCTTCATAAGAAATTGCCAAACTGCTTTCCAAAATGGTTTTACCATTGCATTCCTTGCAGCAATCTGAGAGAAGTGTGGTACTGACAGTCTTGTAAAATTTTAGCCACTTTACTGAGTGTATAGTAGGACCTCATTCTGCTTCATTTTGCATTTTTCTGGTGACTGATGAACATTTTTTAATATACTTATGGATAATACTTATGTCTTATTATATATGTCTGTTCAATTTGTTACTGAGTTGGATGAGTTTTTTTGATATCCTGATACAAATTCTTTATTTGATACACGTATTAGGAATATTGCTTTTACTAGTCTGTGGCTTACCTTTTTATTTTTTTAACAGTGTCTTTTGAAAACCATAAACTTTTAAATTTGATAGAGTTGACTTTATCAATTTTTTGCTTTCCAAATATTCCTAAGAAATATTTGCCTAATCCAAAGTCCAAAGTTTTTGTCTTATTTTTTCTTTTAGAAATTTTATAGCTTAGCCAATTCATTTTGAATTAATTTTGTATAGTGTGATATAATAGATGGTTTATTTTATTCCAGGTGGTCTTAACAATACTGAGTATTCGAATTGAGAATTGGTATATCTCCCTATTTAATTAGGCCTTCTTTAGTTTTTCTCAACAATATTTTATAGTTTTTAGTACACAAACCTTGCATGCATTTTATTATAATTATCCCTAAGAGGTTTCATGGCTTTAGAAGCCGTTTTAAGTAGTGCTGAGTTATTAATTTTATTTTCTAATTGTTTCTTCCTTATATATAGAAATACAAAGTATTTTGTATACTGACTTTATATGCTGCAATATTGTTAAAAACACACTTCTTAGTTTAAGTACCTTTTTTTGTAGATTTCTTAGGATTTTCTACATATGTGATCAGGTCACCTGTAAAAAAAGTTTTTTTTCTTCTTTTAAAATCTCTGTGCCTTTTATTGTCGTACTGCATTGGCTATAACTTCCAGTGCAGTGTTGAACAGAAGTGATGAGACAAAGATATCCTTGTCTTGTTCCTCATCTTAGGGGAAATCATTCCATTTTTCACCATTAAATAAAATGTTTGGCATAGATTTTTGTAGATGCCTTTAATTACATGAGAAGTTACCATCGCTTCCTCATTAGTTGAGAGGTTTTTTTCCTTTTTTAAATAGTGTGTTGACATTTGCCACGTTCTTTGTATTAACTGAAAATATCAAATGGTTTTCTTCTTTCATTCTGTTAATATGATGAATTATGTTGTGTGATTTTTGAATGTTAAACCAACTTGCACTCTTGGCATAAATTCTACTTGATCATAATGTATTGTGCTTTTTATTCATATATATGGTTGGATTCAATTTGCCAGTCTTTTCTGGAGGAGTTTTGCAACAATGTTTACCAGGGGAACTGCTCTGTAGTTTTCTTTTCTTGGAATGCCTTAGTCTAGTTTTGGCATTTGGGTAATTCTGGGCTGACACTACTGATTTAGTTTTAGTACTGTCCTCATACACTGTTGCTGTTCCAGAATCCAACCACATGGTACTTGTCAGAATTTGTGCACACTAGTTTCATGCTACTAGGAAACCTGCTAGTTATGCTTGACCATTTCTTCATCCTCACTGCCCACATCCAACCCATCTCCAAGAACTGATGATCCTGGCTTCAAATCATATCTGAAGTCTCTGAGTCCTGTGTCATCACATCAGTCATCTGCTTGAAACCTTTCACTGGCTTCTTGTTGCACACAGGATGTGATCCAAGATCCCTAACGTGGCCTGTGAGGTTCTGTGTGATCAAGATCTTCCCATTTCTCTTGATTTGTCTCTTGCCACCTTCCTCTCACTCATAACCCTCCAGCCACAGAGATCCATTCGCTACCTGGAATCCCAAATTCTTCCATACCTCCCACATCCCTGTTTTCTCCCAAATACTCTTCACATGGCTAAATCCTACTTACCCTTCAGGAATTGGCTAATATATTACTTCCTCTGGGAGGCCTTCCCCGAGTCCCCAGTAAAGCCGTTCCTCCATCCCTACTCTCTCTCACTGTACATATCACTTTTATAAACACGGATATAACTTATTTTATAAAAGTGGAGATACACTCATGTATCTACTGACATAGATATCTATAGATATAGAGATAGATATCTCCACCCATATGTATTTTTTCAAGACTGTACCCTGGTGACAAGCATTTGGTATGATGATTGATCTCGATAAATATCTGTCTAAAAACTGATGAATAAATTGAATGAATACTGCCCAGAGGCAGAATCGAACAAGGTATAGAATAGGGACTTTAAAATCAAACAGCCACAGGTTGAAATCCTGGCTTTTACAATTAGAAAATATAAATTCTTGGGCAATTTATTTGAAATCTGAAAAATATTAGCTTTATTTTTTAAATGATGATAAAATTATATACTTTTTTGGGATGTAACAGGTATTAAAAAATGAGCCAAAGTATAAATGTGCCTTGCCTTCAATAGCAGCTTAATAAATAGTTGTTCTCATTCTTTTTCTCTCTTTACCAAAGAAATATTGAGCAAGCTCTTTCCAAATCACATTTCACAAAGACAAAATAGGAGCCCCAAGAAAAATTCCCTTATATTTAATAACCCCCTTAACAGTCTGTTTAGGAACAATACACAAATATAACATGACATCATAGTGATAGTTTAATTACCTCAAAATTACCTTACTGAAAATTATAAATGAAAGTTCCTGAGAGAATGAGGATTTTGTTTTTTGTTGTTGTTGTTAACTAGATCCTCATGACTCCTTACCCAGGTACACTGATTACTTAAAAATAAATTCCAAATTTCCAGAAACAATGTGAAATCCTGAAATTTTAAATTTTTCTTAGCTTACTCAGCATTACCTTCAAAGAGAATTGATAGATGGGGTTGATTTTTCTGAGGTCATTAATAACAAAATAAAGAAGAGATGCTCTTGCTGCTACTGGTCTATAACATTCTCGGGCCTCGTTGATTTTTCTTTCATTTTCTTTGGCTTCAATCACCTATGGTGGGATCAACAAAATAAGTAATTTACTCTTCACAGTCTCTGTACATATCCATGTAATGCAAGAACGTATCTGAAATGACAAATTGTGAGTATTAAAACAGACAACATGTATGGCATCTATGTACTTGAGCTTTTCTAAAATCGTTAAATTCTGATTTTTAAATATTTTTTTTCATAAACTGAGTTTCAGTGAGAATGGACATAACTCTAGCTGTTTTATAGGTTGCAGATTAAACAAACGTAATTGTGTTTGGTTCTACAGAATTTGTTTCTGAGTAATGTCACCTTCCTGCCTCCCCTCTCTCTTTCAAGGCTTAATAACCCAGCTGTATCGCCTCTCAGGGATGGCTCTTACAGGTCTGCTGGGTCAATTCAATGCCAATAACTTTATTAGGCAACAAGGTATACAAAAGTGGTCAAGGTCAATAATACATCCAATAGCAATGCTTACCAAAAGGCCTTTATATGAAGACTCTCATGTCTAATTCTAACTTTGCCCCAGGTCATCCATATGTTCATATATTTATACTTAGTATTAGCCTCTGGGTACATTCAGAGAGATAATTTTAAAAAACCACCACCATCATCAACCAACATATTAATTTTTATTCAAGGCTCAAATATCTATTTCTTTTATCTAGGACTACTGCTGGTCTGATAGCTTTATAAGACACAGTATTTTCCCCAAACTTTTCTATAGACTCGATTCATAATATTTGTGTATAAAAGGAAATAAAGTGTAGGGCAGAGAGGGAAGTCACTACATGGTGTTATATTAAGAAGATAGGAAGAGACATTTTAGGAGACAATTAGAAGTTAACTTCCAAGCTAAGACCTAATTTACTTAATTGCCCTAATCTTTACCATCTTAGGAGCCATCTAGAATTCACTTACTTAAAAGGCTGGAGTATTTGGGATTCCATTTCCTTGCTTAATTTAAGAAAATATATTGGATGTGTGGTGACACAGCCTCTGCTGGGTAATTAATAGATTACTTAGTAATGAGGATATTTCAGAAAGCAAATAGGGTCTAATTCTGACTTTGAAACAATGTTAAGGGTTAGTGGCCACTTGTGAAAGTCCAAAGTGCACACCACACATAAGGCATATTGGAACTCATGTTGGACGTTAGCAGGAAGCCTGCTCAATGAAAATTTTTACTGGCTTTTAGGAAATGTCATTTTCCCAGGGTGAATAATGCATTTGAGTACAGCAGGAGACCATCCCCTGCTCAGTCTCCTGCCACTGCAGGCCTGTAAACAAAACTTCAGCTCTAAGCATTTCTCTAAAATGTCCAACAGACCGGGTAACCTGCAGAGAGACTACAGGATGTTAGTTTGCCAGAGCCAGACGCTAAACCTTTTTAGATTTTCGACCATATATAAGCCAGCAGGACCCAATTTTCTTAAAATTTGGTCCTGGAAAAACAGTAGCCTGACAGGGTCTAACTTGAATTATTGGAGCTCTATGGAATTAGGAGATGTACATGTCCAATTATCCAATCTCCATTCAGAATTCCACAGTCTAATTTTTAAGGGCAGTTTATTAAATGATCTGAATTCCACAAAGTCCTCTTAGAGGAATTACCAAGTCTGATTACACTGTTACCCCAAGCATTGCATTCAAACAGAGCATTAAAACTCCCTAGGCGTCATCTGCCCTTCCCTACCTTGCGTTCTATTTCTGCTGCAGTGGCCTTTGTCTCCTCCAATCTCTCTACCAGTTTGGTGTCATCCAGAAAGCTTCCTTCTGCCGCAGAAAGACGCAGCAGGAGATCGTCCTCCAGATATTTCAGCTCGATCTTAAAATCATTTTGGTGCTTTGTCAAAACCAACTAATATAAGCCAAGAAAAGCATGAGAAATGGTGGTTAAATACATGTTCTTTAAGCAAATACATGTTTCCTTAATCACAAACTTCATGGAATCAGTATATAATGAAACACACTTAACAGTAAAACCGTATTAATCATAATTTTTAAAAATTCTTTAAAAAAATTCAGATGGTATGTTAAGATCTGGTTGCACTGCAGGGTGCAGAGTATGAACACTTATCATAATCATTAAACATCATGAACCTATAGGAAGAATCTGTTTAAGAAAACACCAGAAACTTCTGGTTTCTGCCCAGACGTATAAAGACCTTGGAAGTCTCATTTCTGTCCTCACAACAAGAAAAAAGCTAATCAACAATTCTTCATACATACATCAGAGAACCGACATTACACAGCAAACTGCACCCTGAAAACAGGCAGATACAGAGAAACACAACTGACTGGGAATGCTTAAACAGTAATTGGCTAATTGCTGGAGGCAGAGCTTGAGAGTTAAAAACTCCTGGGGGGCTGTTGTTACGGGGCCCTCCATACTTTCGTGAGTTTTAACTCCAGGAGTCCAGGTTCTCAACGTGAAGACCAAAGAAAATCTACTTCTGCTGTGGACTGAACAGGAGAAAAGTAACCATTCTGAAATAAGCCCAGGGGAAAAGTAACCATTTTATTAACAAATATGAAAGCTTTCTGTTCTCCTTAACAAAAGTCTGCCCACAAAATAAACTACTGGGCCAGTGCCTAATCTGACTTAGGGGAAGGGCAGTTAGACAATTTAGCTCTCTTCACACCTCCTGTCTCACATAGAAAGGCTAAGTAGCTCTTCCGAAGGTCACATCTCAGCGACTTGGGCCTACTGAAAAACCCTGAGAGTTAGTCAGAAGACTAAAGAATACTTTCCCTCCCCAATACCTTACCAACACACCAACAGACTTCAGTATAATATCATTGTATCACAACTGAGAGAGCTATAAAACACAGACTCTATTTAAGAAGGAGTGTTTAGGGAAACCCAAAGACAATAGGGGAAACAAAAACAAGAATACCATGTTAAATTGAAGCCCATGACACCGACAACTACAGCAAACATTAAATACAGCCTAACTCTTACCCATATTAATATAAAACCTCACACTAAAGCAGCACTATTTACCTTAGTTCCATTTATCCAATACATCATGCCTGGCTTTCAACAAATAAGTACAAGGTATGCCAAAAGACAAAAAAACATAGTTGGAAGAGTCAAAGCAAATCTTTGAACAAGACTCAGGTATGGCAAAGATTTTGGAATTATCAGACTGGAAATTAAAAATAACTATGCTGAATGTGCTAAGGACTTCACTGGAAAAAGTGGACAACATGCCAACATACCATGGGCAATATAAGTAGAGAGATAGAAATTCTGAGAAGGAATCAAAAGGAAATGTTAGAAATCAAAACCACTGTGACAGAAATGAAGCCACTTTTGATGGGCTCATCAGTAGAACAGACACAGTCAAGGGAAGAATTAGTGACACTGAAGATACGTCAATAGAGGCTTTTCCAACTGAAAATCAAAAAGAATAAAAATAAAACAATGAAAAGAATATCCAAGAACTGTGAGATAATTACAAGAAGAAAGAGGAAAAAAAGCAGAAGAAAGAGTGAAAGTAATAATGGCTAAGAATTTTTCAAAATTAGTGACAGACATTAAACCACAGATCCAGGACGCAGCACATTAAGCAGGAAAAATACCAAAAAATCAACTCCTAGGCACATCATATTCAAACCTCAGAAAATCAAAGACAAGCAAAAAATTTTGAAAGAATTCACAGAAAAAAACATATTACCTATGTTGGAACAAGGATAAGAATGACATGGAACTTCTCTTGAGAAACTACGCAAGCAAGAGTAAAATATTTAAAACATTGAAGGAAAAAAATAACTAAGGATTCTGCATTCTGCAAAATTATTCTTCAGGAGATAAAGATTTCAGGAGAAATAAAGATTTTCTTAGACAAAAACTGAGGGATTTTGTTGCTAGTGGATCTGCCTTACAAGAAATGTTAAAAAATTTCTTCATGGAGAAGGAAAGTGATATTGGTCAGAAACTCTTATCTATGTAAGAAAGAAAGAGCACCAGGAAAGGAATAAATGAAGGTAAAATATTTTATTTTACTCTTACCTGAGCTGTTTAATTATAGCAGCAATGTATTTGGTTATCATACCTTATGGATAAATAAATGAATATTATAAAAAATAAGAGGGAATTAATGAGAATACTCTATTAAAATATACCTGCACTACCAATGAGATAGTAGTTTTATCTGAAAACGGAATCAGATTAGTTGTAACTGTATATTGCAAATGCTAAAGCAACCACTAAATTTTTTAAAAGAATTATAATTTTATATGCTAAGATAGAAGAAATAATGGCATCATATAAAATGCTCAATTAAGACCAGATAAGGCACAAAGAGAGGAAAAGTTAAACAAAAATAACAGGAAACAAGTATAGTAAATAAAAAACAGTAAAAAATATGGTAGTATTAATTCATATGAATAATCTCTTTAAATGTGAATTATCTAAATAAATCAATTAAAAGAGACTGGCAGAGTGGATAAAAAACAAGACCCAACTATCTGCTTTCTACAAAAGCCCACTTTATTTATTTATTTACTTACTTTTATTTTATTTACTTGCTTATTTACATTTATTTATACACACACACACACACACACACACACAGAGTCTCACTCCATTGCCCCAGGTAGAGTGCAGTGGCTTCATCATACCTCACCACAACCTCAAACTCCTGGGCTCAAGCAATCCTCCTAGCTCAGCTTCCTGAGTAGCTGGGACTACAGGCACCTGCCAGCACGCCTGGCTAATTTTTTCCGTTTTTGGTAGAGATGGGGTCTTGCTCTTGTTCAGGGTGGTGTTGAACTCCTGATCTCAAATGATCCTCCCACCTTGGCCTCCCAGAGTGCTAGGATTACAGGCATGAGCCACCTCACCCAGCCGAAAATGCCCGCTTTAAATATAAAAATTAAAGGTAGAGGGATGGAGAAAGATATACCATGTTAATACTAGTCAAAAGAAAGCTGGAGAAGCTATATCAATTTCAGTAAAAGAAGATATCAGACCAAGAAAAATTACTGAGAACAAAGAGTATATTATATAATAAAGGGACCAACTTTGCAAGAAAGCATAATAATCTTTAATGTGTACACACCTAACAAGAGTATCAAAATATATGAGGCAAAAATTAATAGACCTACAAGAAGAAATAGAGCCCACTACTACAGCCCACTATTACAGTTAAAGAATTCAAAACCCCCGTATCCATAATTGACGGATCCAGCAGGCAGAAAATCAGTAAGGATATAGTTGAACTGAGCAACATAATCAATCAACTGGATTGAATGGCATTTATATAATACTTCATCTAACTACAGCAGAATATACATGTTTTGCAAGTTCACGTGGAATATTCACCAAGATGGACCAAATAGTGGACCATAAAACACATCTGAAAAAGTTTAAAAGAACAGAAATCAAAGTATGCTCCTAGACCACAACAAAATTAAGTAAGAAATCAATGACAGAAAGATAGCTCAAAAATCTCAAAATATTTGGAGACTAAATAACACACTTCTAAATAACACATGGATCAAAGAAGTCTCAAGAGAAACTTAAAAATATTTTGAAATAAATGAAAACAAAAATACAACATATAAAAATTTGTGAGATACAACAAAATCAGTACTTGGAGGAAAATTTGTCACATCGGATGCATATAATAGAAAAGTAGAGAGGAAGATCTAAAGTTATTTATCTAAGTGTTCACTTTAGGAAACTAGAGAAAGAAGAGCAATATAAACCTAAAGCAAGCAGGTGAAAATAAATAATAAAAATTAGAGCAGAAATCCACTAAATTTTAAACAGAAAACCAATAGAGAAAATCAACAAAACCAAAAGCTGGTTCTTTGAAAGAATCAATACAATTTATAATCCTCTAGGCAGGCTAAACAAGAAAAAAAGAGAGAAGGCACCAATTACTAATATCAGGAATGAAAGAGGGGCATCACTACTGGTTCCATGAATATTAAAGGATAATAAAAGAATATCATAAACAATTCTCTTCCCACAAATTTGGTAACTTAGATGAAGTGGACCAATACCTTGGGAGACAGAATCCACCAAAAACTTGCACAAGGACAAACAGATAATCTGAATAGGCTTATATTTATTAAAGAAATTGACTCAACAATTAATAATATTCCAAAAAAGAAAGCACCAGGTCCAGATGGTTTCACTGAAAGAAAACAGTTAAAGAAGAAATATCAATTCTCTATAATTTCTTCTAGAAAACAGAAGCAAAGGGAACAATTCCTAACTCATTCTATAAGGCCAGCATAACCCTAATACCAAAACCAGGTAAAGCCATCACAAGAAAGGAAAACTATAGACCAGTATCTCTCATGCACACAGATATAAAAATTTTCAACAAAATATTAGCATATCAAATCCAACAATGTATAAAAAGAATCATATGCCATGACCAAGTAGGATTTATTCTAGACATGCAAGTCTGGTTCAACATTCAAAAGTCAAGTAAAGTAATCCACTACATAAAAGGCTAAAGAAGAAAAATATGGTCATATCGATAGATGCACAAAAAATTTGACAAAATCCAACACTTATTCATGATTAAAAATTCTCAGCAAACAAGAAATAGAGGGGACCTTCCTCAACTTGATAAAAAACATCTAAAAAAGAGACTCACAGCTAATATTATACTTAATTGTGAGAAGTTACTTCTCTTAATTGTGAGAAGTTAATACTTTTGCCTTAGCATCAGGAAAAAGGCAAGACTGTCACCTTTCACCACTCTTATTCAGCATTGTACTGGAAGTCCTAACTAGTACAATAAGACAATAAAATAAAATAAAACGTAAACAGAATGGGAAGAAAGAAATAGAAAACTGTCTTTGTTTACACATGACATGATCGTTCTGTAGAAAATCCCAAAGAATTGACATAAGGCCTCCTGCAATTAATAAGCAATTACAGCAAGTTTGCAAGATACAGATTAATATACAAAATCCAAGTGCTTTTCTGTGTACCAGCATTGAACTGTAATCTGAAATTTAAAACATAATACCATTTTTACATTAGCACCATAAAATTAAACATGTATAAATCAACTCTGATGAAAGAAAGATTTAAAAAATGGAGAGATATTCCATATTCATGGACAAGAAGACTCAGTATTATTAACAGTATCCCTTTCTGGAATTCAATATAATATTAATAAAAATACTAGCACATTATTTTCTGGATACTGAAAATCTAATTCTAAAGTTTATATTAAAACACATAAGATCCAGAATCACCACCAGTATATGGAACAGCAAAAACGCTGGAGACTACCTGTCTTTAAGACTTACTATAAAACTATAGAAATCAAAACAGTGTGGTATCAATGAAGGGAGAGACAAATAGATCAATGGAACAGAATGGAGAACTCAGAAATAGATCCATAGTAATATGGCCAGCTGATCTTTGATAAGGAGCAAAGCCAATTCAAGTAGATGGTTGGTAGATGATTTAATCATTTTTACCTTAAGCTTCTCCAAATCTGGCCTTTCAATACTGACAACCTCTGCCAGCAGCTGGGCTTCTAGACCATCTTCTGTGACTGCGAAATTGAGGAGGGTTGTCTGAGCTTGTAATTCTGGCTTATAGTGAGGATTTGCCAGTTTTGTGTGAAGGATAAGGCGAAAGTTCTTGTTAAATTGACATTCTTTGTCTCCAATCCTGATATACCTAAAGGGAGCATAACACAGACTTTCAGGAAATTCCCATGAGTCATAATTGATACTAAAGTGTCATTTCATTCCTGTGTTCTGATAATGGACACTGGGTAGAAGACCAGGTGATTCAGGATTTTTCAGGTACTCCCAATTTTCCCCAAATATAGGAGTATTAGGAATCATCCACTAAATCTCTACATGATTAAATTTCCTCATATGTGAAATGGTGACAATAATGGCACTCACCTCATAGTGTCCCTTAACAATTAAATACAATGATCATATAAAGGACCTATAACAACAAAGGTTAGCTTTTATAATTATATGGTAAGTCCTCACTTACCACCATTGGTAGGTTCTTCGAAACTGTGACTTTAAGTGAAATGACATAGGACGAAACCCATTTTACCACAAACTGATACAACAGTTAAGTTTTGATGGCATATTTCTGGTCACAAAAACATCACCAAACTTATGAAAAAAAAAAAAAAAAGGACCCAAAAGTCCTTTCCAAGAGGAAAATGAGCAATTTAGCTAGCAACTCTCTTCTAAGCCAGTATATACCTGTGCAGTACCTACTTCCCTTTTTTTAAAAAAGACGATTTTTAAAAGATGAGTATTGACATCACCATTGAAAATAAACACTGAGAACATTAAGAGGTGAATGGACCGCATGCCAAGTGTTATAAGTGACCTAGGTAGTAGCCACCAGTATATCCAACAGGTATGGTGGGCCTGGGCTTTTGTTTTACAGGTCATGGATTTGACACCATCTATTCATGTTTTCCAGTTCATATCATGTTCATTAAATAGTCATATCTTATTGATAACTTCTTCAGTTATTTGTGTTATCATGAAACACATTGCAACTAAATATTTATTCACTCAATCAACAGTTGAACACCTATCCCATGCCAGACTGTCAGAGAATCTTCTGAGTACTGGACATATATAACCATTACCAACACAATCATGATGTCTGCTCTCACAAACATTATTACTCTCTCATGATAGGAATTACGAATATAAAGTTTTATATAGTGATCTATCCTTTTATTTAGTCAGTCAATAAATATGTATTCAGTCAAGTTTCTACAATGTAACAGGCATATAAAGATCAAAGATCTATCCAAATTAAAGACAGGTAAAAGATCTAAATAGACATTTCTCTAAAGAAGATACACAAATGGCCAATAAGCATACGAAAAGATGCTGAACATCACTGGTCACTAGGGAAATGCAAATCAAAGCCATAGTGAGGTACCATTTCACATCTACGAGGATGGCTATAATAAAAACAGTAACAAGTGTTGCTGAGGATGTGGAGAAATTGGAATCCTCATATATACTGTTTGTGGGAATATAAAATGGCACAATCACTTTGGAACACAGTTTGTCAGTTATGTAAAATGTTAAACATAGAAGTCGGGCATGGTAGCTCACATCTGTAATCCTGACAGTTCGGGAGGTTGATGTGGGAGGATAAAGGCCAGGAGTTCAAGACAAGCCAGGCAACATAACGAGAACTTATCTCTACAAAAACATGAAAAAATTTGCCAGATATGGTGGTGCATGCCTTAGTCCCAGCTATTCAGGCGGCTAAGGGAAGAGGATAGCTTGAGCCCAGGAGTTTGAGGTTACAGTGAGCTATGATCACATCATTGTACCCTGGACTAGGTGACAGAGTGAGACCCCGTCTCTTAAAAAAAAAAAAAAAAGTTAAACGTACAGTTACCATTTGACCTAGTAGTTTTACTTGTAGGTGCGGATCTAAAAGAATTGAAAACATGTCCACACCAAATTTGTACACAGATGTTCATAGCAGCAGCATTCATAATAGCCAAAAGGTGGAAACAACCCAAAAATATGACAGCTCATGAATAGATAAACAAAATGTCTTATATCCAAACAATGAAATATTTGGCCACAAAAAGAAATGAAGTACTAATATATGCTACAACACAAAAGAACCTTGAAAACATTGTGGCAAGTGAAAGAAGTCAGTCACAAAAAACCCCACATATTGTATGATTCCATTTATCTGAGATACCTAGAAATGACAAATCAATAGAGAAAGAAAGTAGATTAGTGCTTGCCTAGGAATTTCAATTCCATTATAAAACTGATTGTGGTGATAGTTGCCCAACCCTGTGAATATACCAAAAACTACTGAATAATACACTTTCAGTGGGTGAATTGTATGCTATGTGAATGATGTCTCAATAAAGATCTTCCCAAACATAAAAATAAAAAAGAATGATCTTTTTTAAGAGGTCAAATCACCAACATCTGGGCTCTTACCAATCTACGAGGTAAGTAACCATGCTAACTGTAGTTGCTCAGAAGTTCATGCTTGTCTTTTGAGCATAATGACATGTGTCATAGAGTGATCTTATTTGTTAAGGACATCTTTCTTAGTCAACCTGCCTCTTTGACTGACAACATATCCAAACCATATTTACAATGGAGAGCATCATCAAAATTTCTATTACTTGAGTTTCGCTTTCCAAGGATTTCCGAAATTGATCTCACAGGTAGCTTTGAGAAAATCTTGCTAGTGCTGTTCACTGTATTACTCCTAGCCTCAACAACTTCAGAATTTGTATGATTGGCTTTTAAAATTTTGTATATAGTAATTGTACATATTTATGGGCACAGTGTGATGTTTCAATACATGTATATATTGTATAGTGAGCAAGTTATGGTATACAGAATACTCCTTATCTATCATTTTCTTGTAGTGAGAACATTACTCAGAATCTTCTCTTACAGTTATTCTGAAACATATAATATTGTTCTCTGCAGTCACCCTACTGTCTATAGAATACCAGAACTTATTCCTCCTATCTAACTGCAATTTTGTACCCCTTGACCAATGTCTCCCCATCATCCCTTCCCTTTTCCCCTCCCCAGCCTCTGGTAACCACTATTCTGCTCTGTACTTTGATGAGATCAGCTTTTTTAGATTCCACAAATGAGAAAGAACATGTGATACTTGTCTTTCTGTAGCTGACTTCACTAAACATGATGTCCTCCAGGTTCATCCATGTTGCTGCAAACAACAGGATTTTATTCTTTTCTAGCTGAGTAGTATTTCATTGTGTGTGTGTGTATACACACACGCACCAAATTTTCATTATTAATTTGTTCACTGATGAATTCTTAGGTTGATTCCAGATTTTGCCTATTGTGAATAGTGCTACAATAAACATACAAGGACAGATAACTCTTTGACATACTGATTTCATTTCCTTTGGATAAATACTCACTAGTAGAATTGCTGGATCATATAGTAGTTCTATTT